TAATGTTTTTGATGTATATACTGTTCTAAATATATAGGCTTGACTAGGAAAGTAAATTAGCTCAAAATTTGGTCTCGGAAAACTCCTTTGTACCCATGCTGCAAAAGCTTTATTGGGTATTTACATGTGCTATTTTTATACATTTGAGTTTTTCATTTAATGCATGCGTTTCTGTACGCAAGTTAATTGAAAGTAATTGGGTTTTGAATATTTTGGGGGGTATTTTACGCAAATACACAGCTTATCTGTAGCTCTGACTCCTTAAGCAACCTATCCCCAAGTCTTGAGTTAAGCCCCACGTCAGTCCACGGTCCTTGTGACCTGTTTGTCATTTCAACATCTACAGACAAACTTTCACAATCTTCACGTGGCCTGTCCACTTCTTAGCGAGATATCATGAAACAACAAACAAGCCCTCGTCAGTGTCATCCAAGCTGTACAACGACCAGGAATAATCCAGAAGACAACATTTTCAACCTGTCAGTTGTACAACTCTTACATTACCCACATGGCTTTCATTGTTCTGTTTTCCCTACCCCCAGTCCAAAATAACTTGAACAATGTTCTAACCTAATTTACCTCAGTTCCCTCTACTTGACAGCCACCATTCTGCTCGCTGATACGACTGCACACAACATCTTACTGCTCAGTCTCACAATATGTTGTCAATCATAATCTTACCATATTGAGAAATTAAATCCAAGCATGTCCAAGATAGCCCCTAATCCACACGAGCCAAGGTTATCTTGTCACAGTCGGTTGCCACTCCTTCACCCCTACAAGATGACAATGGAATGTCCCGCTGTTTGTAGCAGGTGTGTCCATGCATTAAACTGGGGGTGCAGTGAGGTGGCTGGAGGACAGGACACGCTACCTGTATAACGTGCGTTCATCTCATCAACTCAAATCACTGAGTAAACATGAAGTTTGGGTCAGGTATACTCTACACTATATGTGGTCTCGGCATAAGCTATTGGGTTACTCTTCATTCAACTAGTAACTAAGACTTGATAAACAAGGATGTATGAAACAGAGTTTGTAAAATAACATATATATGTTACCGGTAGTCCACGACTAGCAAAATTCAGGCAGGACCAGTGACATTTACTTGTAGACTATCATTTTTCCCCTTAGGTAGATGGCAACTCTGCAGATGATGTTTTGAGGATTAGTGAAAATAGAATTTATTTCCAACTCTAACAACAAAGCATAGGTTTACACATAAATAAATATAGGTACAAACGTCATTCAATAATTTTTTTGTTTTCTTTATCATTTACTTTTCTTGGCATAGAGAAACCGTAGAGCAAGGATAAAAAACGATCTTCTTATAAGAATATTAGCAGTTAATTTTTTACTTTCAAGAAGTAAAGAAGCAATACGTTCTTGAAGTATTAAAATACCAAAAGAAACAGACTTATATTATGTTATTGATCAATGTGAACTTTCATTACACCATCTAAAACTGCAAGGGCAGATACAGAAATGTTATCCAACAGGTGTAACAATCACAGAAGATGTAACAGGAATGAATATGTGTATTATATATATAAATAGAATATTACCAAGCACACAAACTTACGTCATGAACATAAATATTTATATATTTATCTCGGTCAATAAACACTCCCCGTCACCATGGCCACCTGAGCATCACGTGAATATCAGTAGCCGGCTATTGCACATCATCCCCAGCGATCTATACACACAATGTATGTCTCTCCGTGGAGATCAAGATGTTTTAACTCGGCATATATATCTGATTTTGTGTGACATAATAAGGTCAGTCAGCCCTGGTGGGATTTGCTATCAACATTGTGGATATTGATTACACTTTTGAAGACAAGCTAATAAACAACATGAGGTGAGGTGAGGTGAGGTGAAATTGGGCTTAACGTCGCGTCTAAGATCATTGCACTTATATAGCGATGAGCATGTGTGTGTGTGTGTGTGTGTGTGTGTGTGTGTGTGTGTGTGCGTGTGCGTGTGCGTGTGCGTGTGTGACTGATGCAGATTTATAGTGCTAGCCCACTGACATACAATGCCGCAGTTTAACATGAATACCCCACTCAGACACAGTATACTGACTCCGAGGCGACCAGTCCTTGCCCCTTAATGCCAAGCACCAGACGGTAACAACAAGTACCATCTTTTAATGTCTTTTGGTATGACACGTCCGGGAATCGAACCCCGGACCTTCCGCTCTCCAGGCAGACGCTCTACAACTAGACCACGGAGGCAGTCAAATCAACATGAACTATGCATGAGGTTTGTTGGTTGTAAGGAACTAATCTCAATGAGTGTTTAATGATATCAAATATATGAACGCAAGTTGATATATTTGATATCAAAAGACACAAGGGTGAGATTTTGTTTATCATCCAACTTCCTTTTTCCAACCTTTTCAGTTTGTAGACAGTAATAAGCAGTGTCTGAAGTGCAAAAACTACTGCTAACAGCTCCAGTAGCAGAGCCATTAGTGATATCATGGTCTAAGAATTATGATGTAATTTCATTGCATCGATATCTACAATGTAGATATCGCTTAATCTCACCCAAGCATATCTCCTGTGGGAGCCAGTTTTTTATGATAAATCATCTTAATGTCCTGATGAATTCTGATCTGGTTAAATGCTGCATGTTTCAATTGTTTTATCAACATCTTAAAAAATGAAATCTTTGAAAGGACAAGTAAATCATTCTCTAGAAACTAAAGTGAAATTTCCAAAACAAAAATCATTTCATATGTTTACATATTTGAATAATTAAATAGTTTCTGGGAGTGAGTGAGTGAGTTGGGTTTAACACCACTTTGAACATTATTCCAGTTATATCACGGCGTGTCAGCTTAATGTGGGAGGAAAGCCAAAGTGATGCAGGTCTCAGACGTTTACCACTTCGGTGAAACCAACAAGCACGGGTATGATGGTCTCTATCAACCCAAAAAGAATGGCTCACTTTCTATTTTTTTTATAATTTGTAATATTTCCTAGGAATGTGTGAGGTGAGACTTAACAACATATCTGTCGGTCTGCCACTGAACATAATTTCCATTTACACTAACAGCAAAACAGATGCACGTGAACAATATCACACATCACAAACACCATAAATGGCTAAAAACGCTGAAGTTTTCCTTTGTTTCGTTTGAATATGTACTTCCACTTGCAAAGAGTCACATTATCGGCATAAATGCTGTGGGAATCGCAGGTTACAAAAACATGAGAAGATATCTATAGTGATCTATAAGGTAGAGAAGAAAATTAAGATCCAAAGTTCCAGGAAAGGTAAAATAATATTGGTTCTACAAGTAGAATGGCAAACACAACTAGAAGGAACTGAAGAAACCAACAACAAAGATGACAACTGTACGTGTCAGTGCTTGTCTGACATCACCAGCTACCACCAGGATCGAATCACGGGACTAGTACAATATACGCCAAGTTAAACAATCTTCCAAATGTTTCAAGATTACCTCTTCCCTATTGTTCCCTAACTGACGATTATAGCTTCATTCTGATAAAACTGACCCTTCCAAGTGTTACTGTTGCCCATCTACTGTGGTATAGGAAATACTTTCTGATCTAACCACCCCCATGATTCTAAACCCCATAATAACCCATATTTGTTTGTTGTTTAACGCCTCACTCAGCAATATTCCACCTATATGACGGCGGTCTGTAATAATCGAGTCTGGACCAGACAATCCAGTGATTGATGTCCAGAGCATTGATCCACGTAATTGGGATCAATGACATGCATCAACCAAGTCCGTGAGCCTGACCACCCGATCCCATTAGTCGTCTCTTCAGACAAGCATAGTCGCCCATCTGTATACATATATATATATATGTTATGCTTCATTTTGCACTGATACACATAATTTAATTTCATAAACTGTTGTAACATCTGGATATTTAAACATATTATAAACCAACATTTTGGTTTTACAAAACAAAGTCTTTATTATGCATGTTTAGTAATGTTTAGATTCATTATATAGACAGACTGTCTTAAAATACATTGAAGATTGCCATAAATTTTAACATAAATAAGTCTTTATTTTACCATGCTTACTCCGTTTATCTGAATTAAAATATAATTATGCACTTTTTACTCAATATAACGTTCCATCCCTGTCTATGACCAACCTACACTATTCCTCCGTGGAACACAGGAACTAAACAATTACAGCTTTATTAGGCTAAAAAATAAAAGGATTGGTTCTCAGGCAATGATGTTTGAAAAAATATAGTGCAGGCTGGTTTTTCTGCTTGTTCAAACTAGTATGTAACCAAATAAACAGTTGCGTACCATAGAGTGACCTAGGAAAGGGCTTCCCTACATAAACAATGATAAACAAGCATACAGTCCCATTGTCGCCATGACCATAGACCCGTGAAGATTCGGGGGTAGAATAGGTCTTCAGCAACCCATGCTTGCCGTAAAAGGCGACTATTTTCGTCGTAAAAGGCGACTAACGGGATCGGGTGGTCAGGCTCGCTGACTTGGTTGATGCATGTCATCCCGATTGGATTGATGCTCATGATATTAATCACTGGATTGTCTGGTCCAGACTCGATTATTTACAGACTGCCGTCATATAGCTGGAATATTGCTGAGTGCGGCGTTAAACAACAAACAAACCAACCATGACCATAACATGAGATGCAAAGTAAAGCAGTGCGCATGTTAAGGGAAGTAACTGTGTGCCATTTGGGATAACATTTTTGGGGATATTTTTTTAAAATGGAAATAAAATCAGAACGTGCGGCAGACTTTAAGATGATGCGGACAGAGCCTGAGAACCAAGACTATTACTTTCTTTAGCCTGTGCTCGTGAAGGACATGTGCTTAGTCCAGCCCCTAATAGGCCCCAGCATACCATTTTGATGTTTCCTACTGTACTAGACCTCACTAACAATAGACCAACTCAAGCCAAGGTTTATGTGTGGTAGATGGTGATGTAGACAATACAATGAGTGATACTGCCTGCCAACCTTCTTGATGCCATATGAGATTTCCCCATCAGGGCTGCCGTACATTCCCTTCACAATGACCATAACTGCAAGGCAAGCACAGTGTTAGATCATCTTCACAACATCCACTGCACAAGCATGCAACATGGCAGGCAATGCAGTCGAGGACAATGTTGCTGATGGAGCTGGAGCTGCTGCTGCTGCTGCTACAAAGCTAAAGGCGGAGAACGGATGCAGCCTGGTGACGTTATTCCTATTCTGCTGCAGCTGCTGAATACATATTACCATGATTACAACAAGGATAAACAAACACATTACCATGCAGACAATGTACCATCAACAATCATGGAATACAAAGCCATGTTCATCAGTTGTCTTTACCATGCGTACTCTAGAGTGGGGAAATCTAGCCAAACATGACTTCATAGGAAGCAGATATCAGGATAATTCTAGGATGGGGCCTTATGCTTTTAGCCCCTAAATCTGAAAAAAGGCCCACATTTTCAAATACAATGGGGCATTTTAACATTGTGCTGTACGGGTGTATCTCTGGATTATTTGAAATTTTAACATGAAGGGCCCATGTCTGAAAATTCCGACAGTGAAGCCTGAGGTGTTAATATTAGTATTATTACAATAATGTGCCCATCATTTTTCAGTTCAGAAATATAAAAAGCATTATTTACGGGTCGAAAAAACGGATGCAAAAGAACAAGATAAAACATCATACATAAACCACGCATACATACGTTACTGTATCCTTCAAAGACAAGATGATATTAACATGATTTAAAACATTTCTATGAGTGAGTGAGTGAGTGAGTAAGTGAGTTGGTCTAGTTTAACCCACTCTCAACAGTACTTCAGTCATATTAGATATGGGTGGCAAGCCAGAAGTGATGGGCTAGACATTTGCCATATTGAAATCAACATGAGCATGGTGCTGACAAACCTAGAAACATCCGGTAGAATCTGGATTCGAACCCACAATCAAGTGTTTCTGCATGCCTGTGGGACGCGGCCCAGCCATCTGGGATCCTGCTTACATAACACATTGGACACTGACCGTGTCAGCAAATTCCTCATCACACACGTGACTTGTAAATAAAACATGCAAGGTGATGTGAAATTGGGTTCAACGTTGCGTCCAAGATCATTGCACTTATATAGCGATGTGCATGCACGTGTGTGTGTGTGGCTGCTTGTACTCGTCCAGACTGATGCCGATTTATAGTGCTAGTTCACTGAGATACCATGCTGCAGTTTAACACCCCACTCGGACACAGTATACGGACTCCGAGCCGACCAGTCCTTGTTTTAGCCCCTTAATGCTGAGCGCCAGACATGCATCAACCAAGTCAGCGAACCTGTTAGTCGTCTCTTACGACAAGTATAGTCACCTCTTACGGCAGGCATGGGTTGCTGAAGACCTATTCTACCCCGGATCTTCACTGAAATAATGAGAAAGAAACCACCACCATGACATGGTTCTCAACTAGCACTGATGTTGTGAGACACAGGCACACCAAAAGATGTCTAGCAACGACCTCTGATGAACTTGAACATTTCAGGACCCTGGATCGTCTTGTATTCGAGGTGGATCACAAAACATGTATAAAAAGTCTACAGAATCTGTTCTTTTATCCTTTTATCAAATTATGAAATTAAATAGTGTTACATTTTCCTCATTTTCAATCCATAAACAACTTAGAATGCATGATGTTTGTACAAAGTAAACAAATCACGAAGACTAAGAGAGATGGTATGATTATTAAGCCAGCACTCCCACGCTTTAATATAATCAGTGTTGAAAGTCTTGAAGTCAAGGGGTCCTAACATAACCAAAATGGCGAAGGTGAAAATGTTTGGGTGTCCCTGGATTCTAATACAATAGGGGCAAAACTCAAGGACACCAGGACCCACTTGCACAAAGCCATCTTAGCGCTAAGATGATCGTAACTCCCATACTTTAACATAGGCTTACAATAGTCTTAGCGCTAAGATCGCTTTGTGCAAGTGGGCCCAGGACCCCTTCAAACACTGGTAATCGATCACTCATAAGTGTTGACAGTCACACCAAGTTAACATTATTACTTAATATAGGAGTGACATGAAGTAGAAATCTTTACTTCAAAACTTCAAAACTACAAAACAACAAAACTAACACTGCCAAAAATGAGACCTGCCATCATATAGCTGGAATATTGTAACGTGTGTCGATAAGCAACAAACACGTCCACACAATATCAAGACAAAAATGTGCATTAAGTTGATGCCGACCGTGTCGCCTCTCGATCACGCCACCATTGAAAACAGTCTGCAGCTGCCTGCCTGTATGTCCTTCCTTGATTATCTTACAGATATCAATATTAGGAATATTACGTTTCTCTTTGGTTATATTACTCAGACAAAATTTACACATACAAGAAACTGTAATATTTTGAAATCAATTGACCCTTCAACTGTCAGCAGACCGTATCATCCATTTTCAAATTCACAAATCAAAACTTCTATCAACGAAGTAAAAATTTATTACGAGTATATTTACTTCCCAGAACTTTATAGATCCTACAAGATCAATAACACCAACCATTTCAAGAAATACAAATAACACCTAAATTCTCCCGATCTACAAAACAATTGCAACCAATCTTACTTTGTGGGTGTCTGTCGTGGTGCAACTTAAATGTCTCCGAGTATCAGTGTCGTGCAGGTCAGGACAGTATTAGCAGCCTTTTTATTGACTACTGAGTACGCCTCCCATCTTGAACACGACAAACTCCAGCCCAAGTATTGTCATACCTGTCCAGGTATTGATTCTGCTCGTCACAAAACCTCAACTCAACAGCCAGGTGGGGATGAACACATGAAAATAGCACAAGACTGAAAAGCTAGAAATGTCTATCCAGACATATTTCAGTAATTATTAACTATCATGGTGGATTGGAAATGGTAATTTAGCAATGACACCTGTTACCAAGACAACAAAGGCAGCAGGAGAATGAACTGGTCATACATATATGCATATCTAAATAAGCTGTGTGTGGCCATTCCATTGATGATATTCCGATTAGAAAGTGGAAAAAGTGTGTTGATTTTAATGCCTCTTTGAATGGTATGATATGTATGATAGCCAGCTTTATACACAAAAGAGAAAAGTCCAAATTGGTGTAGGCCATAGATGCCGACCCTTTCGATCAAAATACAGACTGGATCCTGGTGTGGAAAAGGGACACAACTCAAAGTGATTCAGTGCTTCAGATCACTGACCAACTGTGTCGACAAGATCAAGAATTTTAGCATTTCCTACCAATTCAAACAGTCACAAAGACTTTTCTGATGGTGACAAAATTGACTAGCATAATAGTGTGAGTTGTGTTTTACCACTGATTTTAACAGTAGTCCAGTTATATCACGGCATGTCAGCTTGATGTGGGAGTACAGTCCGAATTAATGCAAGTCTTAGAAGTTTACCACTTTGGGGAAACCCATGAGTACGGGTATGGAGCTGACAAACCAAGAAAACATAATCGGGTTGAACCAGGATTTGAACCCATCATCACAGGTTTCTTGACTAGGCCAAAGGAAGCAAGTCTGCACAGTGGACTGTGAAGCATTAGACGACTGGGCCACCTGACCCCACCATTAATAGCAAGAAGCATGACACCACAGCTGGGTAAACTCTTGCTTTAATCGGACATAAATGATGAAATGATTACCTATTGATTCTCAACATATGCTCATTAATGGCCCATTGTGAGGCTGTTTGGGTAAGTTATTCATGATTGACTGCCATGTTTGAAATGGCAGCCTCATCCCATGGCTTGATACATCCCCGGGCTAGAATCACTCGAGTCTCTTCCCGGGTTTTTAGTTGGCTTCAGATCATTTCATTTCAAGGTCATTTTCATCTAAAATGACCTGAGGAATCGTCTTCAAAATTGGGAAAAATATGGAAAAATGTCTTGTCAGAAGTTGATAAAATAACAGAAATGTCCCGATGCCATTTGGTTCAAGCAAACACTGTGAATAGTGAGCTTATATGACCATGTTAATTCCCACTCCTTATATACTTCTAAAAAAGTGAATGAGAGTGAGTTTTGTTTTACACCACTTTTCGCAATATTCCAGCAATATCATGGTGGGGGACACCAGAAATGGGCTTCACATATTACACCCATGTGGGGAATCAAAAACTTTAACCACTAGACTACCTCACTACCCCCTTCTAAACAAAGTTGAGAACCACCCGATCCTTTCATGATATCATAATTAAACTGTCATAATTTTCTTTTATTATACAACATGGCGGTTCTTCACCATTTGAAATATTTCGAACGTTTCTTTTATCTATATTTGTTCCCATTATTTCTATATCCAGACATGCTGGAGAAGCATTCAAAACACTGCACACACTCACTCACTCTCTCTATCATGTCTATACATATCCTGACAAGTCATGATTAAAACAGCCCCTAGCATGCCTAGTGCAAGACTACATAAAAATATAATTTAACGCTGCACTCAGCAATATTCCAGCTATATGATGGCTGTCTGTAAAAAATCAAGTCTGGACCAGGCAATCCAGTGATTGACATCATGAACATAGATTTACACAATTTGGAAATGATGACATGCATCAACCAAGTCAGTGAGTCTGACCACCCAATCCCATTAGTTACGATAAGCATAGTCGCCTTATACGACAATATGGATTGCTATAGACCTGGCACTTTATGGGTCGCTAGACAAGTAAGATTTAGGAAAGCCTAGTGACATTTTACCATTTGAAAGCGGGCAACTATCAGATCATTTCACAGCCAAGAGCAAATATACAGTTATTTCAAAGCCTTATATTTCAAATATTTATCTAGCACTGCTAGATTTGGAAAAGTGGTATCCTGTAGCAAAGACATCTATTCAAGGAAGAATATAGATAGTCAAGTCAAGTTAATCCGACAATGTTGGTTGCACATGATTATGTCGGATAAGCAAGTGTAAGGAAAGTAGTATCAAGTTACTATTAACGTTCGTGATTGAAAATCAGACAACTACAGTAACACGATAGATAACAATACATATACTTTGTAATAAAATAAGGACAAAGGAAATATTCATATTGTTATGTTATAGTGCTAGCCGATTATGTTTTCGAACCATGCAACCTCTAAAACTTAACACAGGGTATTCCAAACTACTGTCTATATGGGCTGTATGACTGATTCAAAATACTTGTGAAAGCGAACTCTGAAATGGATGTCGCCAGTTCGAAACTCATGCTACAAAGCTCAAGAGCACGAGTTTGGTTTTACGCCGCTTTTAGCAATATTCCAGCAATATCACGGCGGGGGACACCAGAAATGGGCTTCACACATTGTACCCATGTCGGGAATCGAACCTGGGTCCTCAGCGTGACGAGCGAACGAGACTGTCGTATTAATGGGTCTAGAGAGCACTGATTTAATAGATTCCCATCATTAGTGTCGGATAGAGCCGATTGTCAGATTAACAAGAATTGACTTATCTTGCCTGGCAAAAGGAATACCGGTATAGGATCTTAAATCACCATGGACAACTAACACAAATCGTGAAACTCAAATAATACATACATACATACATAGACTAGTATTGGTTATATTAAAATTTATGAATTAATGAATGAAGGATACAAACAAACAAGACTGAGCATCGGTCGTGTTTAACAAGGTGACAATGCCCCTATCTAATTATACGTTAAATGACAATCCATGATAGAATACTGTAATCAAACCCATTTGCACATACAAACACACAAACCTAATATACTAGTTAGAAGCCATATATATAAGCAGTGATTTGCAGTGGCAAACAGCCTGAGAGGAAGCAGAATGAGAGTGACCTCCCTTGTTTTGGACAACTCTTTACATCAGCCATGTTTTACCTGCTCGGTAGGCGCTGCTGTGTTGTTGAGCATGCTGTTACAGACACGGTGCCGGGTAAAGCTGTATCTAGACTGAACGTATTTAAGACTTGACAATACCCAGCAGGTGACAAGTCCCAAACAAATGAAGAACTGCCTCTAGAACAAACAGCCATACATGCTATATACCTCCATTACCTACACTTGAGATAACACCACACAAGGAACTAACATATTTGAATTTATTTCAAAATATTACCCTTTAATACCATGATCTACTTTGAAATAGCTTTCTCACATCATTTTTAATACATTGTAATGGTAATTATAGGTGATTTTTAAAAAAGATTTTAACATGGATGAATTACCTCTGCTTAGATATTGTTGTAACTTTGAGTAAGAGATTGAGTGAAAACGGTCAAATCAATTTATTTTTTTGTTTAAATTGGTATTTACACCTATAACAGATCTAAAATTCATTTACCAACTTCACTGCATAATTGTTTAAAATGACACTTTTTATGTAGAGTGGTCACTTATAGAGTCAATTTAATACTACGCTATTTGCTGAAGTGTTAGGGAGAAAGAACTGACAGAATTAGCTAGAAAAACAGGTTAAACAAATACTGTTTTGCTTGTCACAAGTCAGTCTAAAGGGAAGTCAAGTTTTGTTTCTCTATAAAGCAAATAGTGACATGGAGAACATTTTCAGAACAATTTCTAGAATTACAAAGCAAAAAGCTCCTGAACAGTATCAAAATAAAAAAAGAATTGTTTAATAAACATGATAAAGATAAGCAGTCATCAAATTTGATAAAGAATGAAAATAATTGTTTGTACAAAGGTTCTCGATTTGATCATAGGATACATAATATAATCCTATGGAAAAAATTACAGATTTTCTTAGATGATCAAATACAAGCGCAGAAAAAAGGAAAGCGAGTGAGTATGCTTTTACGCCGCTTTTAGCAATATTTCAGCAATATCACGGCTGGGGACACCAGAAAATGGGCTTCACACATTGTACCCGTGTTGGGAATCAACCCGAGTGTTCGGCGTGACGAGCAAACGCTTTAACACTCGGCTGCCCCACCACCCCTGGAAAAAGGAGAGGGAGTATCGATGCTCACAGTGTCAATCACTGGTTTGTCTGGTCCAGACTTGACTATAAGAAAATGAATGAGTTGGGTTTAACACCACTTTTAACAGTATTCCAGTTATATCACGGCATGTCAGCTTAATGTGGGAGGAAAGCCCGAAGTGATGCAGGTCTCAGACATTTACCACTTCGGTGAAACCCACGCACGGGTATGGTGCTGACAAACCTAGAAACAAAATTACGGGCGAACCAGGAATCATAGATGTCTGTTTGTTTGTTTGTTTGTTGTTTAACGCCGCACTCAGCAATATTCCAGCTATATGACGGCTGTCTGTAAATAATCGAGTCTGGACCAGACAATCCAGTGATTGATAGCATGAGCATCGATCCACGCAATTGGGATCGATGACATGCATCAACCAAGTCAGCGAGCCTGACCACCCGATCCCGTTAGTCTCCTTTTACGACAAGCATAGTCGCCTTTTACGACAAATATGGGTTGCTGAAGACCTATTCTATGCCGGAATCTTCACGGGCCATAGATGTCTGACTTTCAAAAGGGAAGTCTTAGGCGAACGGGTTTCCATAACCCCGATCATAAAGCAGCGTTAGAAATTGGCACTAGTCCTGTAGTCTTTGACAAACTGCTCAAAAGTAAAGGTATCATAAGGACTGGTAGAAGATTGCCCTTAATGACGGTTTTGCTATGTGTCATTATAAGGACTAGTGTACTAAAACTGTTAGTTTCTAGTGCTGCAAAGAGTCATTCCACCTTGTAAATGTACAGGAAGCATTCAAGATATAAACTTATGTTTGTAAGTAAACGAAAAAAATCTGTCTCTACTTGGAAATAACAATTAATAATTAATCCTGATCTGTTTCTATCTGATAACCAGCCTGAGTCCTGTTCCCATGGGCTACACTGACATTAATAAATAAATATTTGCCTTCACAGATCCACTTGTAGATATCTCAGGCTTCCATTTTAAATGGAGAGCGCATTTCATTTTATGTTCATAACCCAAAGACACATGCCATCTGAAAAATAAATCATTCTTTACAATCCTTACTTAATTTGAGACTTTCTATGTGATCTTCTTATTCAAGACTTATAAGTTTCAAATTGTTTTGGGTTGGCTGAAATTGTCTCCATGCCTGAAGGATGTATAAGATTAGAATGAAATTCACCAGGCCATAATTATCCCAATGGTGAGAGAAGAATAAATTAATTATCCTAATGTTAAGTTTGTTCGTTCGTTCGTTCGTTTGCTGTATGCCGTACTAAGCAATATTCCAGCTATATGACGGCAGTCTGTAAATAATGGAGTCTGGACCAGACAATCCAGTGATTTACATCATGAGCATCGATCCACGCAATTGGGATACGATGACATGCATCAACCAAGTCAGCGAGCCTGACCACCCGATCCCATTAGTCACCTCTTACAACAAGCATAGTCACCTGTTACGGCAAGTATGGGTTGCTGAAGACCTAATCTACCACTAACCTGATCTTCACAGGTCCTAAGGTTTAGTAAAGAATTAAGGGTTTACACATTTTAATGACAAGTCCAAAGTCCCTTTCACCACATTACACTTTCAACTTTCAAACAAGATCAGGAAAAAGGAAAAAGTAGAAATATTCATAAAATTGTTAGTAGACAAATACAATAAGGAGGCTAAGCCTTACCCTCAGATCAGGGGAACCCACATAGGCTGAATAAGGAAAAGTATCTGTAAAATACAGCAAGATTGTCACTCTTCTGAAAAGGATGGAACCTAGTTGAGAAACTTTGTATAACAGCAAAGATTTTAAGGAGCACAACCGCATTCGACGTAATAAGCGCCCAGGGCACTCTCAAAATTAGAAATAGGGGGCTCTTATTAGAATATAATTTTGGTGAAAAAAAAACAGAGTTGAAAGATTGTAAATTTTGTGGTTTATGCTGACAGCCTGAAATGATATAAAAGAAGAATCTGTGTGAATTATACACCATAGATATATTTTCGATAATTTAATTGCCCATAATTATGGGTGCATAAAACACACGAGTGCGTATTATACACAAATAAATAAGTCTTGTGTACATTTATCATTTGGAAAGGGTGCTAATTGTGATTGTTCACTAGCCAATATATTAGCAAATATCACCGTGGGCGCTTATTAGAGCGGGGCGTTTATTACGACGAATACGGTAATTCTTTCATTTTACTATAGTTAATCTATCAGGACATGACAATTTAACTATAGTAATATGAAAGAACTGGGTAATCTTTAACTATTTTTGAGTAGTATAATAATGTCCTTTGTTTTTCAACATTTTACATTGAATGTCTCTAAACTGTTACTCTTCAGGTTTCAAATCAATGTTAAATGAAGTAGTGTCTGTACTTATGAAGATAATGTAATTACGTAATATTTCATATAAAATAACTACTACTCATCGGTTAGGTTTGATATCACAGAACAGATTATGCTACGCCTACTCTCATGATAATCAACCAAATGATTATATTATTATCATTATTATTATTTTCATTCTATGCTAATAATATGCTATGAAAAATATTTATTTTTTATTGTTTTAGTTACAAGCATCACCTTGATTTTATCATAATTATGATAATCCAAATAATCATATAAACTAGTTTAGATGATAATTAATTTAAATAAACATAGGTTGAATCCTATGAATATCCTGATTATGTATCAATGTTTAAAACACTAGTGCCATTACTTATTCAGTACTATCCAACAGCTGTTCCAATGGGCACAGAATGATAAATGACTAAAATTAATCAAAAGTACAGAAGCCATTTAGGGCCATTTGTTTTTTTTTGTTTTTTTCAATACTATCTTGAAATTTCAAGATACTAAGTTGAAATTTCAAGATACTATCTTGAAATTTCAACTTAGTATCTTGAAATTTCAAGATAGTATCGAATTTAAAAAAAAAAAAATGGCCCTAAAAGGCTTCCGTACAAAAGACTGCCAATGCCAACACTGCAGTGAAGCAAGTAAGGAGATAGTAAATATGTCCATTCAATTCAGCATGCTTACTGCAAAGAGCAGAGCAGCATCAAAATATCATTGATTAATCACAAATAGTCTTTGTAATCAAATCATAGAAGTTACAAGTAAGTATAATACAGGACTACATCCGATGAAATCATCACCACAGTCTACTCAAATAACAAGAACACATTATCGTAAACAAAGTCAAGCTTACATAACAAATATTTTTTCATGACAGTAACTCTCTTGGATAATACAGATACATGTATCTATAACTAGATACTTCACCATTGTTTACAAGGACAGGCAGTTATTTTTCTGACAGTGACACAGTATAAGACAACTGATGACATTGTAATAGTGATATTCACAAAGCCGTTTCAAACCCTACCTTCTCAGATCTTATAGCCAGTGGAAACATTAGAACCCGCTCTCCATGTTTACAAAGACGACTCCTTGTAAAACTGTAAACACCTTTCACAGAAATAACATCACAATTCACCACAAATTCCTTCAGTTTGGTAGTGATCTAATGATACCCCTTGTGACTTAGCCATTTTCCTGGTGTCAGCCATTAAGACTGTAGTTTGGCTTGTTTACACCGTAGCTTGGCAACCTCTAAAGCCATCAATCGGGTCTTATCATGTTAATAGGCTATAATGTAAACATAGCAAGTTATGTGTGAAGTGACAAAGTCATTATCCATGTTGACAGAATGTTCCAGATCTATATGCATATATATAAAATCAAAATCTGAGCTGTCTTCACATTAATATATCATTTGGTCATCACACACAAAAGCTTTGGTCGATAACAAAGCAACCAGTCTAGTCCATGGTCAGGCTTCAATGATTCCTGCTAAAAATAGAACAGGTGTATTACATAAGCTTGTACGTTCATCCAAGGCGAAGCAAAACGGTAGTTGGCTGGTATATGTGCCATTATTTCTGGCAAAAGAAATACTGTTATGTCACTCCACTCGTGACCGAATACTGGCGTCATCTTATATTTATATTAACCCGTCACAATGTCAACAGAGTCAGTGACGTGTAAAAAGGAACGAGATACATTTTCCTTGAAGAGTGATTCTCTTCAAGTAAAATGTATCTCGTTCCTCAACCTGGGTTGCGCAACGAAAGTTACACTGATGGCCCCAGTGTGTGCGCTGCTGAACGGACCGACATTGGCGTTTGAATTATTACAGATTTATAATGGGACTTATGTTACGTGTCATGTTCCGAGTCACGGAAGCACAATCAATGTGTGGTGTTTCCTAATTTCGTGATACCGTGCAAGTAGAACATGTGAATCAACTTACCACACATACGTTATTACCGCCATTTTAGATACTTGGATGGGATGAATGTATGTGACTTAGTCTCTATGTGGCAGTAGATTGACAGTGGGTGGACCAAGAACGGTCCTTTTACTATATGACTTAATTTACTGACTGTTGATGAAGTTGTTGCATGAGTCTATCAAGCATCTCGAGATACACAGAAAGTGATGACGATGTAAACAACATAGTCAAATACTATTTGTGTTACCGCTATTTTTGTAATAGACGTCGTCGCTTGTTTATGAATTTCGACACAAAAAATGTATATGAAACAATCATGTGAGGTCAAGTGTGCGGTTTATTTTTTTTATTTTATAAAAGCAAAACATTCACAGAGAAATGGTTTAATTAGTTTGTCAGAAAATGGAGAATATTTTTTAGCAATTTATTGCCGAGACATGTCGAGAACGCCTCAAATAATGACTCGATTCTGTACTTTTCAATTCAAGAAGGCATTACTGTATATCTGCATCGGGTACAAACCAATACTACCAAGCAGGAGAGACAATGTGAAAAAATAATTGTTCCGAGTTTCTAGTCAAAACAGACCATTGAATTCATTACTTCAGAGGACCATTAATTCAGAGAAATAAGTGTTTCCGTATAAAGTTTTAATGCTTTAACGAATTCTCCAATTGTTTGTTGTATTCGAGCCTCATCTACACTTTGCAATACACGCCCACACAAATTCATGCTAATACACATACAATTGCCGAAACATCTTTATGTTAATGTCGGAGGCGTGTGTGTGGGTTTGTTTAACTGCGCACTCAGCAGTTATGCAGTTACTTCACAGCTTCTTTATTATGAGTGAGTGAATTGGACTTTACGCCGCTCTTAGCAATATTTCAGAAACGGGCTTCACACATTGTACCCATGGACGGAGGGGATCGAACCCTGGCCTTCCGCGTGACTAGCGAACGATTTAACCACTGGGCTACCCCACCGCCCCACTTTATTATGAGTGGGTATGGTTTTACGCCGCTTTGAGCACTATTCCAGCAATATCGCGGCGGGGTGCACCAGAAATGGGCTTCACACATTGTACCCATGTACCCATGATGGGAATCGAGCCCGGGTCTTCGTCGTGACGAGCGAACGCTTTCACCATTAGGTTACCCCACCGCCCCACTTTATTATGAGGAATACAAGGTTTCAGAGTACAGGCTTACTCCTTCACCCCCTTTAATCAGTAATCGTCATATTTTAAATCTGAAAATAAACAACACATAGATAAAGGGGTTCAAAAAGACTTTTTGGCGCTGCTTCACATGCAATTTCTGTTGACCACATTTATGTATTGTTACGGTGGTGATGATGATGATGATGATGATGATAATGATTATGGTAATAATATTAATAATAATAATAATGATGATGATGATGATGATAATAATAACAACGACAATAATAATAATAACAATCATGATGATAATAATGATAACAACAACAATAAAAGTAATAATTATGATAAAGAGATCCGTGTATCATTTATTGGTCGTAATTAGAAACATACTCAATGACATTTTAATATTTTGTACAAACAATATTTGAATATTAGAACCAAACATGATCTTTTCATGATAACATCGAGATCTATCCCAATCATTACTTGCGGAGGGATTTCTTAAATCAGATCTTCACGGGTTCAATAACTGAATGATTATCTTTAGCATCCTGTAATTGGAGTCGTACTCGCGGATCTGTGGTTACAAATGGGTCCAGGGTATTTAGCAGAACAGATTCAAGATAAAACACTCTGGACAATCGAGGATGGTGCAATGGATGCGTAAGGCGTTTCTTTTTTTATAATTAGCTTAAGGACTGTCTGTCCAACATTTCAATAAATAATATAAAAATATAATAAAATAAAGACAACAATGGCAATTTTTAGAATAGTTGTTTTTGCTCCAGTCGAGTCAATTAACTAATTCCAATACACAAAACAAATATCCGAGTAGGCCATCCTGGGAATGCAAGTCTCCCTTTGACTTTCACTTAAAGAACTAAAGTGTCACTTCTTCTTTCAAACGACCAACAATTGTTTCATGAAAACATTTAGAAATAATAAATGGTCAGTAATGCAAACACTTTCATTATTTTTGTATTTTGTTTGAAGTGATTTGCTGCGTGTTTTACTACGACAAAGGATTCAAATATAATTATAAGTAGTTACAAACTTAAAGAAAAAAGCACGAATGAATTTTGCAACATTAATCAACAGAGTGCTTTGTTAACAAGCGTAACATATAGACATAGTCGTACCTCTAATAGTATCAAAAATAATATTTATGACGTAGTGCACAAGTACCTGCAGACACAACTGTAAACAGAAAGATGAGCGGAAAACCGCCACCGAAGAAAAGGGAAGGAAACGAGCCTTTTGAACTCGAACAACAGTTTATATTGAGATTACCACCAGTAATGATCTTTTTCACATTGACACCCACGTATCTAGTCTGTAATATTAATGTGTGATTGATAGTTATGAACAGATTTTGCTGAAAGGTTAATGATAAAATCCCAAACTATTGAAATGGTGTAGAGCCTGTGGTTCGCATGATAATGTTTCCATGGGTACACAGTATCTGAATATGATTAGGGTAATCCTTTTTCACTACATGGGCAGTTGTTTTACCACACATCAATAGCTACAGGATTGAGCTGTGAACATTATCGTGACCCCATCAACAACTTTGGGTGCAGGCTAAAACGGCACCTCAGCAAAACGTCACCGATTTCTCTGGCGAAAACGGCACCGCATTTGGCGAAAACGGCTACTATGTGACAGGCGAAAACGGCACCTCTATTTACCAGGAGGGTATTCTCTTGGCCTCACAAAAAATGTCCTGGACAGTAGGGGGCTAATTTCTACTGTAAACTTGTTTAAACATTTCACTATTATTAGTGTTTGTAAGAGGCGATGTGAGTTTAATTTCATTATTTTACTTCAAGGCATGTTATGTTTTCACAATAAGTTGAGTTGCGTATTGGCTAAGTTGGAAAATAGTTGGAGTAGAGGCTAAATTCTAATGTAAACTAGTTGTAACATTTCACAATTATTGGTGTTTGCAAGCGACCATGTTAGTTTTATATCATTTATTTTATCAAGGTTAAAAAAATATAAGGTGCCGTTTTCGCCAGGCATTAGTAGCCGTTTTCGCCTGAGGCGAGGTGACGTTTTCGCCAATCGGTGCCGTTTTCGCCAGGTGACGTTTTGCTGAGGTGCCGTTTTAGCTATAACCCAACAACTTTAAAGTCGATCTATGACATGTATGAAGCGATGAGAATGAAAATTCAAGTCGTCAAACATACTGCGTTAAATATTAAAAGCAGGAATAAATTCCCATTTTAAATATGATATTACTTACGACAAAGGTGAATGGTAGTGCGAAGACCTCCTCAGAGCTCCAGATAAGCTTTTGGTGTTGTGGGTATTTTACCCATGCATTTTAAAATAATTGGGTATCAGTAATCCTATCTGGGTATTCAAATTTCTGTTACCCACTAGTTGTTACACATGTGGGTATTTAAGTTAAATATTTAAAACACTATTCATCTAGTCCCAGCAAACTGGTGTCGTGTGGGTTCGAGAGCTTTATAGGACTCAAAAATACCACGATACTTCCACAAGAAAGTCTGATGGCAAATGATCGTGATGTACCTGTCATCGTGGAGTTTGGCAAGGTTGACGGGATGCCCGTTTATAATTTCAAAATAAGTTGCTGATTTGCTAATCTAATACGCTGGGTTACTTAACAATATTTTGATGATACACACAAGTTTTATTTTTGTATCTGTAATGTTCGTTGCGTATTTGATATGCTTGGATTTTATTTTACTGCATATTTCTGCATTCCTGGAGCTCTGCGTCCTTTAAACTGTGATATCATCTCATTGTAGCCATGCTGGTGTCCCCTGCCATGAAATTTCTGGAATATTGCTAAAAACAGCTTATAACCAAAGTCACTCACTCACTGTTGCAGATCTGGGTCAGAATAGGTCTTCAGCTATCCATGCTTGCCGTAACAGGCGACTATGCTTGTCGTAAGAGGCGACTAAAAGGGATCGGTCGGTCAGGCTCGGTGACTTGGTTGGTGCATGTCATCGTATCCCAATTGCGTAGATAGATGCTCATGATGTCAATCACTGGATTGTCTTGCCCAGACTCAATTATTTACAGACAGCCGTCATATAGCTGGAATATTGATGAATGTGGCGTTAAACAACAAACAAACAAACACTTGTCTCATTAACTGATGTCATATCACTGTATTATTAAACAAAGGTATGTTGAACCTAATGCTTGTCTAACATTATTGTTTTGTGTAGGGGCCAGCGATTGCTCTACGGCGGGACGTACAGTCTGGGTCTATGGCTCTAAAGGACAAGATTGGTATTGAGTTGCAGCATGATATGAGGACTTGTCGTGTCCGATATGGAGGAGATATTTTTAATGCCAAGGTACAGCAGACATATTATTTATTGTTTTTTTATGTATGATCGTTATGAAATATGGGGGTTTTGTTAAAAAAAAGGTCAATCCGACTACACAACCATTTTTTTTTCTTGATGACCTAAAGTAACGTGACCTGAATACAGGGTTGCACACGACCACTAATCTCTAGAGAGTACATCCAGAGGAACCGATTGTTTTCTACCAAACTTTTACATAAACCACTGGTAAAAAATGAGCTGTTCTATTTGCATTTGACCAGCTGTGTCTCCTGCCAAAACATGTAATGGATTTCTGATTCTGAAGAAAATGCCTGTGTGCCAAAAATAACGAGTAAGCCTTATGTTATGATTATGCAGCACCTAGAGTGGGGGCTCAATAACTACCTTTTCAAGATAAAAATGATTTGGCCATTATTTGTTTAAAGATTTCCTTCAGTTATTTGAACAAGGCGAAATCTGACATGGGTTGGTAGGGTTGAGGAGAATATATATTCCAGTCTTTCTCTTCGGTTTTGTTAGGTGTGGTAGCCTAGTGGTTCAACTGGTTGAAAGCGACGCAATCTCATTAAAATCAGATCTAAGTTTTCGCTGCCGCTAAACAAAGATCTAAGGACATCCCATTACGGGTCACGTCAGAACGACCTCTCGCGAACTTTGACCGATCAATGAAATGACAAGAAATCAACATTAGCCAATCAGAAGGCAGCTTTCTCGAGCTTTACGACACTAGTTTCAAACTGGCGACTTGGCTTCGAAACATATTTTGACATATTCTCGGTTAAAATTTTTAAAACTGATAAAAAGAACATTCAGGAATGGCTTACAGGTGGCCTAGATTGTATGGATATAATGATTAAACCCGTAACAGTCGTTCGGAATACCCTCTGTTAAATATTTCGAGGTTGCATGATCAGAAAACACATTCCGCCTGTCACTTTCATGATCTGGTAAGCGACGCTCTGATTGGTTGGATGTAAGGTCGTTCTGATGTGACCCGTAATCTTTGTTTAGCGATAACGAGAACTAAAATCTGATTTTAATGAGATTGAAAGTGACATGAAACTCACTCACTAACTCAGCCTTTGGATAGACTGATTGCTTAACAGTTTATGTTTAATGTAGATCTAGATAACTATTTGATCAGTTGTTTCTTTCAAATGGTAAATAAATAGAACATGTTTAAGGGGGGGCACAGGTGACCCAGTGGTCTAAGGGATGCAACTCCCATGCAGAGTTGCATCCCTTAACTGTGTCAGGAACCTATTCACACCTATTATGATCCTTGGTTTATCAGCGCTAATGTCATGCTCACTTGTAACCACATTGGCATGAGGTTACCATGGTTACTGAATGCACAGGTTTCTCTCCCTCTGGCAGACTCTGAAACTTTTTTTATGAAAGATCATAAATACCATACGTGTTGGTTAATATATAAAGACTTATTCATATTCAAGAGATATTAGATTAATTTAATGCACAAACGAACATACTGGAATGCTGGAATGTTATGTGATGTCATAGATCCATGACTTGAGATGCACCATTTGTCTCGTGCAGGATTAGCGTGTAAAGTTTGGAAGTCACATGTAGCATATCCTGATTAAAAATAAGGACACTGTGGTAACACTGGACTGATTGTTAGTTTTTGTTATTAAGTGGTACAAACTGGAAACATCTCTTCTTAACGTACATACTTCTCCGTATGTTTCTATAGTTAACGTTTCTTTTGTATATATATACACACACATTTGATACTGAGGGTACACATTCATGGATGTTGCAGCTTGTTGACTTGCCGTGCGTCATTGAATCCTTGAAGACTGTGGACAAGAAGACCTTCTACAAAACTGCAGATATCTGTCAGGTACATGTTGAAGGGTTCTCCTCTAATCCTGGTAATAGGCATTCAATTGAATATGGAGGAGTGTCCACATAACTTGCTTGAAAAGGTTGGACATTCAGCTAAATGTTAAATAATTGTTATAATTGTTTTTTAAATAATGTAAAGATGCCATGCAGCAAAGGATGTATTTTGATTGAGATTAATATTTAAACACTGGTATGTTGGTTGGTTTAATGCCGCACTCAGCAATATTCCAGCTATATGACGGCGGTCTGTAAATAATGGAGTCTGGACCAGACAATCCAGTGATTGACATCATGAGCATGGATCCACGCAATTGGGATGCGATGACATGCATCAACCAAGTCAGCGAGTCTGACCACCCGATCCCGTTAGTCACCGCTTACGACAAGCATAGTCGCCTTTTACGGCAAGCATGGGTTGCTGAAGACCTGTTCTACCCCGGATCTTCATGTGTCCACACTGGTATGTAGACTTGAATATTACTTTAGTGTATTTGGATCTGCAAGTGAAGCCATTATGACAGTGAAAGAAAGTAGTATTGTCCTAGGTCTATCTGAAAGCACATTTTAGTGTTAATATGATTAGCAAAGTGAGATCATTGCCTTTATAATTTGGATGGTCAGGTATTTTGTTACCATGAATTACCAATATTTGTCATGTAGGATTAGGTGGTAACTGTGGCACTATGTCCAATGGGGATTTGATGCAGAATGTGCACCCAGTCACCAATCATCTGGCAGTGGCCACAGTGAGTTCTCGGACCCTTTGAAGATCCGGGGTAGAATAGGTCTTCAGCAACCCATGCTTGCCGTAAAAGGCGGTTATGCTTGTCGTAAGAGGCGACTGACGGGATCAGGTGTTCAGGCTCGCTGTCTTGGTTGATGCATGTCATCGTATCCCAATTGCGTGAATAGATGCTCATGATGTCAATCACTGGATTGTATGGTCCAGACTTGATTATTTACAGACAGCCGTCATATAGCTTGAATCCTGCTGAGTGCGGTGTTAAACAACAAACAAACAAATATAGTGAGATCTGGCTGACGGTGTCTCACCGTTGCTCGATGGCATGGTTCATTGCTTTGCCCCAATACTGTTAAGTGTAGGCCATTGTGATACAGCTTCAATACTGCTGACTGCTGTGGAACTCCATATGTAGACATTGACAACACATGTTATCTGTGGTTCTGTTCAGATGATGATCTGTACGTATGATGAGGAAACGCCACAGGAAGAAGAAAGTCCGAAGAAGAAGGACAAGGACAAGAAATATGCCTGGAATCACGGCAGTAAGTTCTCCCTACTGTCGTATACTGAGTACTTACCTCCCTTGACTGGGCGTAAGTTCTCCCTACTGTCATATGCTTAGTACTCACCTCCCTTCACTGGTCGGAAGTTCTCCCTACTGTCATATGCTTAGTACTCACCTCCCTTCACTGGTCGTAAGTTCTCCCTACTGTCATATACTCAGTACTTACCTCTCTTGACTGGTCGTAAGTTCTCCCTACTGTCATATGCTTAGTACTCACCTCCCTTCACTGGTCGGAAGTTCTCCCTACTGTCGTATACTAAGTACTTACCTCTCTTGACTGGTCGTAAGTTCTCCCTACTGTCGTATACTGAGTACTTACCTCCCTTGACTGGTCGTAAGTTCTCCCTACTGTCGTATACTTAGTACTTACCTCCCTTGACTGGTTGTAAGTTCTACATACTGTCACATGCTTACCTCCCTTCATATACAGTAAATTCTCCCTACTGTAACATTCTTACCTCCCTTGCCTTGAAGTAAGTTCTCCTTACTGTCACATACCTACCTTCTTTGACTGGCAGTAAGTTAGGGAGCATTTCAAAAGTTCTATGTATTTATGTTCTTCTTATTTCCAACACTTTTGAGACGTACCCCACTCACCCCTAACAATTTGTTGTAAGCCTTCCCAAGGAATACCCTTGGCCAGTTCTTCCCCCCCCTCTGGCCATAATCATCCACCCTTAAATTTTAGACTTACCTTAGGTGGGGAAGGTTCAGCCCAGACCAGGGCCCACTTGCACAAAGCGATCTTAGTGCTACGACTATTGTAAGCCTATGTTAAAGTATGGGAGTTACGATCATCTTAGCACTTAGATCGCTTTGTGCAAGTGGGCCCAGCTCTTCACAGGCGTTCCTCCCACAACAAGCTGACATGCCGAGATGTTACTGGAATACTGTTAGAGGCGGTGTTAATCTAAACGGACTCACTGATTCTACTAATTATTGTTTCCCCCTCAGTTACGCCACCTCTCAAGAATGTGAAGAAAAGAAGATTCAGGAAAACCTTGAGGAAAAAGGTAGGTGGTCATCAGTCCTCATGGATTAGGTCAGAATAGGTCCCCAGTACATCATGCTTGTGTTAAGACGTACCAAGGACGTAAAAAGATGGTACTTCTTGTTAATCTGGTCAGCATTAAGGGGCTAAAACACGGACTGGTCGGCTTGGAGTCAGTATACTGTCTCTGAGTGGGGTATTCGTGTAAAACTGTGTCAAGATATCTCAGCACTAAAAGACCGGCATTAGTCCAACTAGTTCAAGCAACCGCAGCACACACATATACACACACATGCATGCTCCTATCTATATAAGTGCAATAATATTAAGCTCGATGTTAAACCTTTTTTCGTCTGAAATCATGCCCCAATAGCAGCGACGAAGTGAACTTTTCAGTTTGAATATTTCAAATGCCCTCAACATCAGCTCATTCTAGTGCAGTCGTTTCGTCCAACTCTCGTTCCCCTATCTTTTGTTGGTAGTAGAGCCAAGATATAATTGACTTTATAATCACTCACCAACTCACTCCCAACTTCCAGCACATAGACCAGCCCGAGACGGAGAAGGAAGTGAAGCGCTTGTTCCGCTACGATGCCGAGGCCATCGACGTCCAGTGGGAGGTGATCACAGAGGAGGACAAGTCCAACACCCAAGACAACAACAGCCAAGGTCAAGGCCAGGTCATTGAGGCCAGTGGCAGTTTCCACAAGGATGAATCACAGATGAAGAGAGGTGACACCAGTGTGTCCCTGGATCCTGGTATGTTCCACATGCAGATCACCTGTGCATTCAGTTGCCTTAACTGTAATACCGTATTCGACGTAATAAGCGCCCAGGGCGCTCTCAAAACTAGAAATAGGGGGCTCTTATTAGAAATTATTTTGGTGAAAAAAAAAAACGTAGTTGAAAGATAAATTTCGTGGTTATGCTGACAGCCTGAAATGTTTATATTCGACAGATATATTTTTCCAGAATTTAATTGCCAATAATAAAGAGTGTGTATTATGTGCGAATAGGGGTCGGAAGGCGTGCTAATTGGGATTGTTCATTAACCAATATATTAGCAAATCTCGCCGTGGACACTTATTAGAATGGGGTGCATATTACGTCGAATACGGTATGCCTGAAATAGTGGAAATAGTGCTAGAAGACCTTACACATGCGATTGCAGTTGGTAGTACTGGTATGACAAATATTGGTACACATGCATTCTACCGGAAGCCTCTCCACCATGTTTGTTTGAAGCTATTAATATAGCCACAAGCGAAAGTGTCTTTGTTTGAAAAATAGGGCAATAAAGCTATAAATAATATGATTAAACCTCGAAATTGAATATCAAAGCAATCCACAAAAATCGAGAATTGGACATCAATATAAAACAAGTTACTCGGAAATAGAAGTTCCATAATGGCGTGCAGCAACCTCATCAGTGACATCCATTGGAGCCAAATTTTAACAAACTCGTACTTTGGATCAACTTTGGTGATGAAATATATCATTTACTTATGAAAGCATTTAATTGAAGTCATTGTGTGGGGAAAGCCCCCTATCCCTTTATATCAGTATTAAGTCTTTAAAACTTAAACACTGTGGAAGAGGCGTGTGCACGTCCCTTACCAACATGGTGGAAGGTGTCCAGTATACCGCATTCTTGCCCAAATATATTGATACATTCAAGACAAGATTTATTTGGTATACAAGTCAATCGTGTTCCTTCTATATCCCCCTATTGACCAATCAGATCCACCTCTCATAAGGAATGACTAAGGAAGAAGCTTGTGCACGTCCCTTGCCAAAATGGTGGAAGGTGTCAGTGTACTGCATTCTTATCAAACATTGATATGTTTCAACATGTTTTGTTTTGTATACAAGTCAATTGTGATCACAGGTCCTGATTTTGACACCTACACATACTTGAATGAAAATCAAAAAAGGTTCCACTCTAATTTTGCCATTTCAAGACCAATTAAGATATTCATAATTTTGATAAAAATGATTTCATAGGAAACAATTTTGTCATCTCGTTAAGTGATGCTTCAGTGTTGTCATCTTGTGGACTTTCTCCGACTTTCCACAGCGTCCTATTTTGGTGAGGTGAGCAGTTCTGAGGACGATGAAGACCGTGACATCAACATCATGGACAGCGGTGAGGAGGAGACATCACATGGGCCGTCCACGCCGAGAGTGGGCTTCACCAGCATTGACAGGATGACCAGCGAGAGCATGGACGTGGGGGACTCCGATACAAGTAAGTCGGGTGGACCGGTGTCATCTCATCATTCGAGAGGCTGCTGTGATATGGCTGGAATAATGCTGAAAGAGACATAAAATACAACTCACTCATGTAAAAGTCCAATTTTTTACTTATCCTGCATTACTCCTTAATGCATTCACTGCTTACCTTACGACAAAAAAAAACTGGGACAGCTAACCGGCGATGGTCCTTGGGTGAATTATTCTGTTCACAATCCAACTTTTATATCCCGCCGTCGCTGTCCCGGTGATCACGTGACCAAAGGTCAACTCTTCACATCACTGCCTGTCGCGACATAGCTAGGACGTTTCCAGCGGAGCTCTCGTTTTTTTGGATTTATTTAGGCTTTCCATTCGTCTACCATTCTAAAATTCTTCTGCGATGGGTGATGTATACCTTTCATATTACTTTCAACATGTTGTGAAGTTGTATTTGATGTTTTGAGGCGGAAAAAGAGACGTGTCTTTTTTCCCGCCACGTGCTATCTGTTCCCCGCCATTTTGAATTGTGTTACAATTGTTTGCTTGGTAAAGGTAGTCAATTGTTTACAATTATCGGCTAGGTATGTATAACATATTTCATATGTTGTTTTCAATACTTCTAGCTTTGGCGGTTCATTGAGTTGCGTATATTCAAGCATTTATACACTATCAACTCGTTCAAATATTTTGCCGAGAAATTATCTACGGCAGTAAATTCCAGTCCCGTTTTCTTCTAGTATATTATTGCGTAACTTATGCTTGCGCGTTGTACTAATTGTCGTGGGAAAAAATCTATTCAAGATCCTCACCCACGTTGTTTGTCATGTACACAAATTTGTGCACCAAATTCTAAATGTGTTTTTTGTAAAAACCTCTCTCCAAAGAGTTTCGCGAGGTATAGGCAAGTCACTCACAAACGTATTTTGCAGCAATCACGTCTTGAGAAAAGGAAAATGTCTCTATCACTATCGCAAATGAGCGAGGGACAGGATTCGATCATTACGACGCAACCTTTATCTATGAGGGATAATAGGTCGGCCGTAACTGTCACCGCGGAGGTGCACATGCCACCGGAATCTTCTCTCCCGGAGAATGTTGGGCGTATTATAATTGCACCTAATTTGGAGAATTCTACATCTGTTACGTATGCAGACAGTGCGCCAGCGTCTCAAGATGCGTTGTCGGGGATAGCGCCAAGCCAAGCTAGACTCAAGTCTACTCCATTGAGCATTGCGCCTCATATGCCTGCGCCGAGCGCAGCCAAGCCCTACTACCCAAGCGCTTCTACAATGACTTCAGCCCAAGGGTTATCAGCGTATGATATTACGCAACCAGCGCACGATCAGCTTAGCGCTGTACCAATGTATCCAGCGCAGGCGCCTATGCCAATTCCAAACACTAATTGGATGCAAAATTTTCTACAATCAATGTGGCAGCAGTCTATGACACAACTGTATCCTACGCCTGCGCCTATGCCTACGCCTACGCCTATGCCTACGCCTATGCCTTTGCCTACACCTATGCCTATGTATCAGACACCTGCATCAACTACATCTACGGCACATATTTTACCGCCTACTCCAGTGACTAATGTGTATAACACTCCTATTATGAGTCATAATACAGTACATTCTTCGTTGAGTAGTACCAGTACACCTGCCCGTACTTGGACATCAACGCATGATTCCTTGTCACCAGGCAGTTCATCTAAGCCCTCGGTCAGAGGTAATATTGCACATCGGAGTAGAAGTCGTTCACCATCAAGACGTACACATCAACGTCGTTCTGATTCATCAGATGGTTCTAATGGTGAGGAGGGAGATTCCGCGAACGAATGGAATACTCACCTTAGCCTGGCTCAAGTACCTGATTGGGTAGCTGACCGCCTCATTTCAGTACCTTCCCCGGGTAGTGGGGTAGATAAAAAAGATACTATTTGGACACATCCTACGTCGATTCCGATTGACCCTATGATGTCAGATATGATTAGATCTTTGGATGAGGACTTCTCCAAGCTCACACTTACACCGTCATTCAGACCTCCCAGGTTTAGGAAGGATGAATTTCCTATTCATGGCTTTGAGGCAGCAAACCAGGCACATAGTTTGGATGAGGATATACACAGAATGACAGGCTCGTCAAGGCCTACCACTCTTAAGGTTCAGGATACCAGAGTTGCGTTTATTGAAACAGAAATCCGAAGGGTATTAAAACCTTTAGCAGCATTAGCATCGTCTACTCGGGCGGTAGAGCAGGATCTGTCAGAGGATAATCCTAACAGACTAGATCACCTCCAAACTATAGTTGATTTTCAACAGCGTCAGATTGACCATATAAGAAATCATCTTAAAGCTGCGTTGGCAGAAATAACTGTCACTCGGAGATTGGGTTATTTAGCCTTATCTACTTGGGACTCAGAGTTTAAACGCAGATTGCTACGTCAACCTTGGTCTTCATCATCTCTGTTCAACGAACAGATTTCAGACACACACGCTAAGGTTTCCAGTTACGCTAGGGATGAAACAGCACTCAAGGCTTTGGAGCATGTTTCTCAAAATTTTTCCCAGCGATCGGGCAAGTCAGGCAACTACAGGCCTAGACGTGAGTCGCTTAAGGAAGGACAGGTGCAAGATTCTTTTCGTGGCAAGGGGCGTGGCAGAGGAAAACCCCAGGGTTCTTATCAATCCCGACGTGGTAAATACCACAGTAAGGGAGGTGATAGGAGGGGCAAACATTGAAATGTTAGACAGTCACGACTGGGATCTCCTACCCCCATTCGTCCCAATTGTCGATACCCCTGTAGGCGGGAGACTGAATCGGTTTTGGAAGAACTGGAGCATCCTCAGGGACGATTATGTTCTCAACATTCTACGCCAGGGTTACCAACTAGACATAGAGGTTTTTCCTCCGTTGACCACGGCACCCATTCCGGGGAATTATCCAAGGAAGCAACATGTCCTTTTAAAGGCCAACATAGACTTACTATTGGAGAAAAGAGCCGTAGAGATTATACACACCCCAGCGCTAACTCCGGGATTTTATTCTCACATCTTCCTGGTACCCAAGAAGGGCTCAGACAAGATGAGAATGATACACAATCTCTCTGTTTTCAACGAGCTCTATCTGAAGCGTCCACCGTATTTCCGCCTCATTACATTGAGACTACTCAGAACCAGCATAAAAGCGTTCGATTCCTTGATCAGTATCGATCTACAGGATGCATATCTGCACTTACCGATTCATCCCAAAGATCGCAGATTCCTCAGGTTCCAGTTCAATGGGGTCCACTACCAGTGGGCAGTACTCCCATTTGGCATTTCAGTGGCCCCGTGGCTATTTACACGAATAATGAAGCCCATAACTGTGTTTCTACAACTGAGGAACATTTGGTTCCAGTCGTACATAGACGACTGTCTCCTGTGTCATCAACACACACCGACGTTAATATGTCACCGGGAATTCACCAGAAGACTACTATATCAACTGGGTTGGATAGTCAACGAGGCGAAATCGGAGTTAACTCCATCATTTCGACTCCAGTTCATAGGAGGACTATTTCAAACAGATCAGAACCTCCTGTCGGTTCCCAGGGACAGATGGCACAAGATTTTACGCCTCCTGTCACCTGCTCTTTGTCAACCACGCACACTTCACCAATGGCAAGTGTTGCTAGGGTTACTCACCTCAGCCCAGGACCTAACCAACAGAGGCCGATTACAGTTACGCCCAATACAACAATTCCTGAATCCCTACATCAGGGGTCAGGATCCACTCAGGGCCATCATGCTACCAACGAATTTGAGACCTTATCTCCGTTGGTGGACGATAGAGTCGAATGTCTTAGGAGGAATCTCTTTATCAGGGTTGTCCCCGAATCTACACCTATTCGCAGACGCCTCCCTTCAGGGGTGGGGTGCTCATCTACAAGACCAGACAGTCTCAGGGCTATGGTCAAGCGCTCATCGGAAATGGCACATAAACAATCTGGAGTTGGAAGCCGTAATTCTAGCCATATCCCATTGGCAGAATCAACTACAATCAACCCAACTATCCATATCCACAGACAACAGCACTGTGGTGTGGTGCCTGCGCAATCAGGGAACAACACACTCCAACTCGCTACTTCAACAGACATTCAGGTTTTTCCATCTAGTGGATCGGCTGCAACTACAGTTCATAGTTCAGCACATCCCCGGATGTCGAAATATTCTGGCCGATGCTCTATCACGCCCAGACAGGGTAGCACCCACCGAGTGGAAACTTCACACAGAAGCATTCCAATTATTGGTTCGGAAGTTCGGGCAACCAAACATCGACCTGTTTGCAACTTGCCAAAACCACCAACTTTTGACATATGTCTCCCCGTTACCAGATCCGAAGGCTTGGGCGGTGGACGCATTCAGCATTCCTTGGGAAGGAATAAAGGCGTATGCATTTCCGCCACCAGTTCTACTTCCCAGGGTAATACAAAAGATCCAAGAGACAAGAACACTTGCTCTGACTTTGGTCGCGCCCTGGTGGCCAGCGAGAGGGTGGTTCGTCGAGCTCAGGAAGCTAGCAGGAAAAGATCCACTACACCTTCCACAGTGGTCCAACCTACTAATCCACCCTCACAGCAAATTGCCTCATCCAACACCAGACAAATTTCGTCTGCACGGTTGGTTCGTCTTAAAAAGGCATTAAGTGCCAAAGGCTATTCGGATCGGGCAGCTAAAGCTATAACCTTAGCTCATCGTCCCTCTACTAGAAGCCTTTACGATGATAAGTGGGGATCATTTGAGACTTTTTGCAAGGCAAAAGGTCAAGATCCTACTACAGCGTCACCTCAGTTTTTAGCTGAATACCTCCTACATCTGCGTACCCAGAGACACTTGAAAGGTAGCACCATTACCACGTACTTGGTTGCACTTAACTCAGTGTTGGCCGTTCCGGATAATCGTAAGATTACTAAGATCCCGGAACTACAGGCCTTATTACGCTCTTTTAGGCTTGAGGATCAGAAGACCAAGTTCCGCCCACCTGCGTGGGATCTGAACGTGGTACTTCGAGGTTTGCGAGGACCCCCATTTGAGCCCCTCAATGCAACCTCATTTTATGACCTCACCAAGAAAACAATGTTTCTCTTGGCATTAGCCACAGCGGCACGGGTGAGCGAATTACATGCAATCGACATCACCCGGGTTCGTTTTGAGCATGGGACGCACGGAGCGGTACATCTAGGGTTGTGCTGGGATTTTATTGCCAAGAATCAATTACCAGGCCAACCTGATCGTTCCTTCACCATTCCACCAATCTCGACGATTGTGGGCAGTGAGGATGAGGGTGAACTTCTATTATGTCCGGTACGGGCACTGCGAATTTTCATCCGCCGTTCCAAGACTAGGCGTGGTTCGAGGAAGCGGTTATTTATACCCGTATCTGCTACATCCACGACCGAGGTCAGTCGCAACACCATATCCTTATGGTTACGCGCAGTCATCCTTCAGGCTTATTCGATCGCCAATTTGGATCCACCAAGAACGAATAATCCTCATGAGATCAGGGCATTAGCCTCTACCATGGCCTTACACAGCAATTGTACTATCAAGACAATCATGGAAGGATGTTTTTGGAGGTCTGACACAGTTTTCGCTAGTCATTATCTTCGCGATGTGACTCTCGAGGACATTGAAGGTGTACGCAGTTTTGGGCCGTTGGTTGTAGCTCAGCAAGTCACCAACCCTCGACGCAAATAATATACACGCCCTATACAGAGCCTTTTCCTGTTCGGTGTTATTGATCAGATTTCGCCAAGGGAAGACAAGTTATTGTCATCAGGGCTATAATCATATAGTAAGTAAAGATTTGGCTGAGCAGCTCGTTGTCTTTATTACTAAAATGTATAGGGAACTATTCTTTAATTCCCATGTGCAATTGTTTGCCACATTGTAATACCCTACCGTATAAGCGTTTTTTCTCAACTTTTCCGCTTAACGGGTTACTGACTAATCTGTGTCAGGTGTCAGGGTGTGAATTATTGAGGTTTCTGTATTGAGGATTTCCCACCTCCATACCGTCCGATACAGATGCATTAAGGAGTAATGCAGGATAAGTAAAAAATTTAGTAAAATCTAAATATTTTTTACATTTGTATACTTATCCTGCATTACTACGTTTAAGGCCCACCCGTCGCAGACTTGCCTCCCCACTTTGGCTTCAGAAACCTCAAAAGTATGTTTTTTTAAGCTCGGGCGACAGGCAGTGATGTGAAGAGTTGACCTTTGGTCACGTGATCACCGGGACAGCGACGGCGGGATATAAAAGTTGGATTGTGAACAGAATAATTCACCCAAGGACCATCGCCGGTTAGCTGTCCCAGTTTTTTTTTGTCGTAAGGTAAGCAGTGAATGCATTAAGGAGTAATGCAGGATAAGTATACAAATGTAAAAAATATTTAGATTTTACTAAGTTTCCTTGCCGCACTAGCCTGGAATTTCTGGTCTTAGTCGTAGCACCACCAGTGCCTGTTGTGAATTATGTCCCTTCTATGTCCCTCCTATTGACCAATCAGATTCCACTTTTCATATCACGTCAAACAAAATGGTGGCACCCAGTGAAGATGATCTGATCAATAATTAAAGTCTATGTTGTAATAAGATGGGTCTTAATTCACGAATTGCATCAAATCATGTGAGCACCTTGATAGGAAACATGGAAATATTTGGATTATGTGTGTTGACGTTATGTTGATGGTACACATATTTGCAAGTCCTGCAATCAACTGAAATCTGCACGGCAGTTTACGACCTGATGTCGATTTCGTTTCTTGATTTTGATATGACTATGCATAGACTCGTTAGTCCAGTCAAACTATAACTCCATAATTCCAGCCTAGTTCGGCAAGGGTGGAAACTGGACATTTATAGTCAGTGAATTCCCTTGCCTCCCTGAAGATTTTTCACAAATTGGGCTGTTTTGATCGGGCACCTCTGCACTTCACAAAAAGAATCATACATGATTGCAATGATGACGTTTTCCTTCCAGATGAGCTGAGCAGCAAGCTGACTGAGCTGACTCAACAGCTGGCCGAGATTCAGCTGAAGAAGACAGATCTAGAAGAACAGTTGGCAAAAACAGACTCACTCGAGGAGAGGGTTAGTTCTGGCAGGGGATTTATGTAGTTCATGGGGTTCATATAGCTGAGGGAGTCCAGAGTTCAGAGTACAAAGCCACTTCAGGAGAGCCCTAACCATGTTTAACATAATGCTGCATTCGTGTGTGCATGATTTAGAGTTTTAACTGGGTTACGATCAAAACAAATTCTCATTGTTTTGGTATGGGATACTTCAGGGTTTTTTTAGACTAGAATTAAATCAAACCTCAGTAATTTCAAAGTGCACCATTTGAAAATTGAATCTGCCCATGGTGCCACTGCGCAGCCCTGAATAAACTCTGATAATGTGTCTGATGAGCACCTGATGATGATGATGATGATGTTGATGTTGCAGGACAAGCTGCAGGAGGGGCTGCTGCATCTGGTGCAGGAGGAGGGCCAGAAGGAGAGAGAGGTAACTACACAGGAGTGGGGGACACTGGCGGGGGACACAGTGGGGCTGCCACTAGTCTGGAGCAGTCAGGCCAGGATCTGCTCCTTGTTTGTTTGAATCACAGGCTTCCCTGATAATAAGCTTTGCTCTGTCCATACATCACCATTATCACCAAAGTGATAAGCGTCCACAGCATGTGTCTTCTCATTTTAACCAGAGTTGAAAGATAAATTTTGTGGTTTATGCTGACAGCCTGAAATGTTTATATACGACAGCTATATTTTTTCAAGAATTTAATTGCCCATAATTGAGGGTACTTATTACACACGATACACAAATAAATAAGTCTTGTGTACATTGATCAATGGGAAGGGGTGCTAATTGGGATTGTTCACTAGCCAATATATCAGCAAATCTCGCTGTGGGCGCTTATTAGAGCGGGGCGCTTATTATGTCGAATTCGGTAACTGAAATACTGATAAGAGCACCATGACTCGTCTGCTGCCCGCCTGCACAAAAATGTCTGATTATGAAATCAATTTTTAATTTTTTTTTCAGTTTGAAATCCTATCATCTATGCTGAACCAATGATGAGTTATTAGGAGACAAGTGAGGCGAGACTGGCCCAAGTGCTGTTGTGTGCGCTAAAGAAAGAAGGGAGATAACTCTGACAGTCCTCTATCTCCCAGATAGCCATAGTCTGTCATGATGAAATGGAGAAATTCACTAACAAGCTGCAATCACAGTCCTGTCACTTGCAGGAGAAGTAATGTCCAGTGTTCCTTGATATGGGTGTGAGGAAAATCTTCTTAACCAAGAGTTGCATAGACTAGTTGTACCCTGATCCTGGTTCCACTTCCCTGTGTGGATTCTGGTTGAGAATCGGTCCCCAGCAACCTATGTTATACCAAGAGGAGATCAAATTGATTGGATGATCAGACTTGGTGCTTTGGTTTATCGTGTGTCATCGTACCTGACGACATGGATCGTTGCTCATAGCATCAATCGCTGGATTGTCTGGTTGAAATTATTTACACGCTGCTGTCATATGGGAAATTGCAGATAAGTGCAGCGTTAAACAACAAAGAAGCAGGTTAGAGTTACCACATTGGTACAATGTATGAATCCTAGAAAAAGTAGTGCAAGGTTTTTTCACCTTATATCTGCCGGTGTAGGAACATTCGTGACCAACTCGTGTTATTCCGGGACAAGCCGAATAGCAACTTGTGCCCCCCTCATGGACATTTTTGCGACCGGGCTCCGTCTTAGCACAGACAGGCATACCTAAAACAATTGTCAACACGTTGTGTAATGGTTCACATATATTTCCCCATATATTTTATATATTTCAGATGCAATTTAAAGCACATCTGGACATGCGGAATGATACAGTATGATTGAACAGTGTCTTGAGTATAATCTTAGATGCAAGACATATATAATTAAAAATTATTTCTGAGGGATTCTTTGATGAAGAACTTGAAATCATACGCGTATTCTGATTGGTTTGTCGTATTTTCGCACATAACATTCATCGATAGGGGGACGAGTTTTCTTGCAGGTTACGGAAAGGGGCGAGTGGTGATGAATGCTGTAGGAACTGAGAGCAGGTCCTAGTGTCAAGTCTCCAGCGTTATCAATGATTTGGATATCAGAGCCAGTAACACTATTGGAAGAAAGAAAGCAGTTGACTGTAACTTATTGTATGGGACCTGTGGATGACTGTATATTGAAGTATAATGTACATTATGTAAATAAACAGTGACTATATAGGACCCAAGTCTCTTGTTTTGTCACAGAATTACCATGGACACGTTCTGCAGCAGATCCTCAAATGTCAGAGAACCTATGTTTATTTTTGCCAGCCTGAGATCGTTAGGTTAAGGTTTCACCAGAGAGATCAACCAGACGTCTTTTAACTTCAGGACCCTGTTGGGTTCCACCTGAATGAGATCAATCGTAGATCAGGACCTGCTCCTTGTAATCATCAACGACCTGTGCTGCAGTTGTCTTTCCCCCTTCATTATAAGGTTAAATGGCAGCACAATTGAAACAGTGTTACAAAAGTGTTAACCACTGAAAACCGAACCCTAGGGGGCTCATCTGCAGCAATAAACCACACTGGTAAAGTGTGTGGAGTACTTTACATCCTTAAATGCTAAAAGCAGGACGGAAGGTCCGGTTCGATCCCCAGCAGCGTCATACCCAAAGGTGTTAAAAAATGGTACTTGTTGTTACCCTGTCTCTCTGCATTTAGGGGTAAAACAAGGACTGGTCGGCTCGGAGTCAGTATACTGTGTCTGAGTAGGGTATTCATGTGAAAACTGCCGCATGGTATCTCAGTGGGCTAGCATGCTTGTCGCAATATAAGTGCAACAATCTTAGACGCGACGTGTAACCCCTTTTCACCTCGCCTCACCTAAAAGCAGGATAAACCAGGAGCGTTGCTTATGTTGAAACAGGTTGGAATCCCATGAGGTAAATCACCTGAGAATCCAAGAAGTACGAAGTGTTGCTCAACCATATATGCAACCATTATGTGGTATGTGCAAATACGTCTTCACATATCAGTTGTCTGCCCATTTTTCGTAAGCTGAAGGTCAAAGAAACGGTATGTTTGCACGGAAAATGATACGAACACTCCAGTATCCAGTTGTAAGACTACCGACACGGTAGTATAACCCCGTTATAACTTCAACTGCAACAGAAACACAGGTATCTATGCAACGGTGCCGTCAGGAAGTAGTGGGCCCTTGAAGCTTGAACCTTCAACGAATGAGTTAATGTATAACTGGCAATACACCAGCGGTGGGGTAGCCTATAGGGTAATGCGTCCGTCAGGTCGAAGGCCCGAGCTGATCCGTTGCAATGGGCGAAGCCCACTTCTTGTGTCCCGTCATGGTATTGGTGGAATATTACTGAAGCTGAGTCATGCCCAAGGGTAGACAGCACGAGCAACGGGCCTCAAAACATTTTATTTTGTTGTTTAACGCCGCACATATAGCAGCAATATTCCAGCTATACGACGGCGGTCTGTAAATAATCGAGTCTGGACCAGACAGTCAAATGATTGTCATCACGAGCATCGATCCTCGCAATTGGGATACGATGACATGCATCAACCAAGTCGGCGAGCCTGACCACCCGATCGCTAGTTGCCGCTTACGACAAGCATAGTCTCCTTTTACGGCAAGCATTGTTGCTGAAGACCAATTCCAATACTCCTACGACTAGCACTGGGTTCAAGGAACTATTTCCCCCCACGTTCCCGCCCTGGAATACTTTGAATTGCTATTTGTATCAACTGTATAATGAATAAGCTTGATTAAATCTAATTGTATAGAACATACAATTTAATATTACACATTCTAAATCAATTTCAGGTGAGCTGCATATTCTTATACATCCCCTTCTTACAATACGATTGTGTCTTGTCTATGAAGAGCCTTTCCCCATCCAATTCCTTTCCCTGTTCTGTGATAGTGGCTCTAGCGACAGGTGAAGACCCTTTGCATACCTAACTGTGCACCGAGGGAGTGATTTATCGCCGAAGGCACCATATTTCCTCAAGGACCATGCGGCATAAAAAAAATCTCCAATCTTCAGAAAGCGGCATACAATCTTGTTTCCATCGATTACCGTGGCCATGAGAATACTTCAGAGACCAGAGGGTTTACAGCTATAGTGATCACTTTTTGAGGGGAGCGCCAGCCCAGGGTTTGATAGCGTCTCTGAGGCCTGCCATAAATACCAGATTGAAGAACGCATATTTATGACCGCTTCATCCACTTTCACTAACACCAGTCATACCTATGTAATCAACGCCAATCATTATCCAAGCAATGTTTAAAAATATATCTGTTTTCTATTCTTTGGAATGAGATACTCGCCGAGACGGGCCTTGAGCGTAGGGAGAGGGCACCAATGGCTACCGCTGGTCGTCTGTCTGAAATAGTCGACCCCTGGCCACCATTCTCATTGGGCGGAACTCGCCACCATTAAAGTGATAAAACGTGCCACAGTCGGATTGATTAAATCCCGGATAATGCATCCAAACAAATTGAAAAGCCAACTCGTCCTGTTTCTTCTCTCGGCAATGCAAGGACAGGTTCATCCCCGGCCGATAACGGAAGCTATTTCTCTTTAATTTCCTATCCGTGCATTAGGGTACATTTCTCGGGATGTGACGCGGTTGTCTCCCTTAGACCAACCATAAACCATACATACACGAGCTTGTGGCTGTCTGAAGTACCCATCTCTAAGTAATATTCTTTATTTGATCTCGAGTAGATATGTGAAGATCAAGGAATCTTTAATTGTTTCCAATCTTTGACACATCACGCAAATCACTCCTCCTTACTCGTCAGGCACATATGCACAGACTGAATTGATCCACAAAAGTGAGTGAGTGAGTGAGTTGGGTTTAACGCCGCTTTTAACAGTATTCCAGTTATATCACGGCGTGTGTGGAAGGAAAGCCCGAAGTGATGCAGGTCTCGGACGTTTACCACTTCGGTGAAACCCACGAGCACGGGTATGGTGCTGACAAACCTAGAAACATAATCGGGGCGAACCGGGATTGGAACCCACAATCATAGGATTCTGGCGTGCCCAAGGGACGCAATTCTGCACAGCGAATCGTGGCGCCTTAGACGACTGGGCCACCCGTGCCCCCGATCCACAAAAGACGAATATGAATTTGAGAATATTATCTGAGAGAAATTTTTCGATAATGCATCTACATCAATTCCCTTATTATCACAACTGTTCTGAAAGCATTGGAATAACGATCCCATGACCTATGTGGGTATTCCTGGTTAGAACATATCCCCAGCAACCTATGCCTGTAAGAGGCGATTACATGGGGATAAAGTTCGATGACTTGGTTAACTCCGTGTCATCCTGCGTGGCATGGTGCTCATGATATCAATCACTCGTTTGTGTAGTCCATATAGCTGGAATATTGCTACCGCAATAAACAAAACAAAAAACACAAAAGAAATAGTCACGTGTCATTCAGGACGCTTTAACGTGTTAAAGGGGCGGTATGGTAGCCTTGTTATTAAAGTGTTCGCTTGTCATGCCGAAGGCCTGGGTTCGATTCCCCACATAGGTGAAGCCCATATCTGGTGTCGCCCGCCGTGACATTGCTGGAATATTGCTAAAAGCGGCGTAAAACAATACTCACTCACTTGTTAAAGGGATTTCAGTACACACTAGTGATTTCGCTACACTAATGGTATTATTTAATTGGCAAGTGTTTCTAGTTGAGCGTACGCAATAAATGATTCCTCACTCATGCAAAGACATTGATAAGTATTGCAGCATCTCAACCTTTCACCTTAAAAGCTTAAAGATTACCCATTAAGACAACTTGGTTTTCTCAGGCTAGACACGGAATACACCATCAGATTATTTCCAAATTGAATCTGTGTATCCGCAAGGCGTATTCACTTAGAAAAACCTGTCCAGCTGGATGACTCTCGGCGACTCTGTGGACAGATATGTTTATACTCAGCTGACAGTGCACTGGGCTCCGAGTTCGTCCAATAGCCATCAGTCAGACGCGATGGCTTAATGGCACCAGGAGCCTTGAGAGTGCATCTGGAGACACGTGGATAGCTTAATAATCACCAATGTTGTTCAAAACAAATGTATGCTGGTGTCTATAACAAAATAATCGTATTATAAGAAACTGAAGATTGCATATATTACATGTTTAGCGTTGATCTGAGAAGGAATGGATTGTTGAATCGTGTAGTTTGTGTAATTTATGTTGAATGTACGTGACGGAGAAATATTGACATTTTCTGCAAAAGAACTGTTGAATCAAAAACGTATAATAATGTATTAGTTGAATGTATAAATTATGTAGAAGAAATGATACATGTATATGACGGACACATGGTGTATGAATCTGTAAGAGAACAGTTGAATATATCTGTAAATGATACATGTATATTACGGACACATGGTGTATGACTCTGTAAGAGAACAATTGAATGTATCTGTAAATGATACATGTATATTACGGACACATGGTGTATGAATCTGTAAGAGAACAGTTGAATGTATCTGTAAACGATACATGTATATTACGGACACATGGTGTATGACTCTGTAAGAGAACAGTTGAATGTATCTGTAAATGATACATGTATATTACGGACACATGGTGTATGAATCTCTAAGAGAACGGTTAAATGTATCTGTAAATGATACATGTATATTACGGACACATGGTGTATGACTCTGTAAGAGAACAGTTAAATGTATCTGTAAATGATACATGTATATTACGGACACATGGTGTATGAATCTGTAAGAGAACAGTTAAATGTATCTGTAAATGATACATGTATATTAC